TTAGTTCTATTGTTGTTTTGTTTATATATATATATATATATATATACCTTTCTACACGAGTTCTATTTGTCTTCACAATGAACACGACGACTACGATGATGAATGTGCTTAATAAAATACAATACCTGATATTTATTCCTGTGAGGGGGGAAATGCTGCTATCCAACCTACGCAAAAGAAAAAAAAACGAACCCGATAAATTATGAATCAAGTACGCTTCATATTACGCTAAATGCATACTTGTGAATCAGACAGGTGTTTAGAAGGGTAAACTTAAAAGAATTAGAACACGACTTAGCAAACTTTTGCATAAAATGTGTCATTTTGGTTACACTGTGTGACTGGGCACTATAAAATGGAAAACGTTCATTCGTTCCGCTGTCCTCCATCACCCGATCTTCTTGCACTGTTATAACGCTTAGCTGGGAAATTCCTAGTCATGATAGTATAACACCAGGCAATTTTCAAATGAAGTGAATACTATCAACGTTGTAAAGAAGGAGGAAGAGAAAGGGAAACGTATTTCTCTATGAGTCGACTCTAGAGTTTGAAACGCATAAAAGCCTTAGAGAGGGAAAATAACAACGAAAATAAAAATACTCCAATAGGGATATTGTAGTTGATTGTATGAAGTTGAAAAAGTCAAACAAAAAATAGAGCTGAACACTCACAAGATAAAATTAGAAACGAAGGTATCAAGTCATTTTTTTTTTTTGAAAGCCAAAAGGCAAGCGAATGTATATCAACATAAACTCAGCATACAAAGTAAATATATGGGCCAAAGATTCAATTCAATAAAATAATTTCCTGCGATTTACCTCCACAAAATTTTCAGAAAGAAAGAACCTAGACATACAAAAAGACACCTTTTAGTCGCTTTTTGCTTGTAATGATTTTGAATACCACGCCTGAATGCAAACATGTAATCGCCTAGGTGTATGTATCCATTCACTGGGTTCGAGACAGTGGCATATGAGACGATATAATTTTTTGGAAAAAAATGGAAAAATTTCTATACCATTCGCAGTGTTCTGTGAATACACAGCAGGAAATTTTAAAAAAAGAGAAGAGAAAAGGGGGCTACCTGAGGTTCGAATCATGTGACGCCTCTTACAAAAATACACAGAAAATGGAGACAATAGAAACTATGCCAAAATACAAAAGGAAGGAAAAATCAAACTAAAATGCTTCTCCCCCTACCTCTCTCTCACACACACACTCACCGCCACTACCAAAATGTTTTCACACATATCACGATCTCCACCAAAGCCTCTTTGGGTATGCCACTTACCGCAATTGCGCGTGAAGCTATTTGACCTCACAACACCCCCATTCAGCACGGGATGCATCGTACGCAGTGCAACGGGGGCAGCTTCATCCAGAACTCCTGTGGATCCTCGAGCGCCTTGAGCAGGTTGGAATTTAGTGCGTTGAAGAAAAAACGAGGGAATGCCGTGATGTCGTGGCTGTCACCCAGCTCAGGGATTACGGATGCACTCAAGCGCACCCCTGAACTCATGTAAGGGGGCTCCCCGACATCGCGAAGAAACGCATCCAACACGGTGCATCGCATTCCCAGCACGTTATCCGCATATCGAGCGGCCAACTCGGAAACTTTGTAGGTGATGAGTGGATTCACCCCTTCCATCGCCAGCCCGATAGTCACCAACACACTCAGCACGTAGCCATGAAAAGCGACGTCGCGGTGGTAGAGCTCCTCCGCATCACTCGACGCGTCCCCCGTAGGGGGTCCTCCTCCCCCCGCCCCCCTTCCCAAGGAGGATGAAGGACCGCTCAGGAGCTCCCGGTGATCCGACGATTGCCGCGTACTCCCCCCGCCCCCTTCTGCTTCTTCCCCGTCCTCCCCTTCTTCTTCCGCTTCCTCATCGGGAAGGGAAGAGACCACGGCACTGAGGACGTTCTCCGAGGCATCCGCGATGATGTCAAACATCGCCGCCCCCCCCCCTCGCTCCCATGGCGTGTAAGGGATGAAGTCCCCCCCCCTTCTCCCCCCCTTCCCTCCCCTTCCCCTCTTCCGATAGGGGTGGGGAGGACGGGGGGGAACCCCTCCCCTCCTCCGCCGCCTCCCACGCCCGCTTTCCCTTTCCCGTCGCGCGGGGTCGGCCGTCGAAGGGGGACGAGGGGCACCTCATGACAGGTGTGCAACGTCGCCTCGATAAACGGCAGCGCCGTGGCGAGCCCGCGCCGGGCGAGATGCCGCAGCGCGAGGAGCAAATTCGCGAGCA